GTCAACAACCCCCCCCTTGGCAATGCCGCTGCACCCATCATTTTATAATATGTTGCCCAATTTTATATTGTAAACTCATATCTGAGACACGTTATTTTTTAAGAGACTGTTGGTACATGGCCACTTCACTTTCTGCATTTCCCAATGCATCAAAAATAATTCTAGAGGCTGTAATCGTACCCACCTCATAATTCAGGTTTTTATACATCTGGTATTTGACATGAGCCTCCTAAAACAGGAGTAAAATAGTTTGAACTAAATCAAAGCTCAGGACTTGCCTAACTGAACCAGAATGGTCTGACTAATGTACATTTATACAACGTAGTGAAGTTTACACCTCCATTCTGCACTTTTGAAACATCGCGTGACATTTTACATCCAGAGTATCAAGTTTGCATTAATATTCAGACCAAACACCTTTACAGTTCTGCAGTGAACCATATTTCTTGCAGTTTTGGGTCTCAGCAGTGCCCTCTACATTTTAACTCTTCTGTGGATGCTTCCATAACAGTGGTGAAACAAGTGTCAAACTAATTCCAAATAGTTTGAGTAGATGGTACGTTCACATTGGAAAGGTTTTGAGGTCTACTGAAGCGGACAGCATGCAAACTAAATGTCGTCTTTGGTGTGGAAACTGGACAGCTGGGGAAAGTTGGTGAAACGCCAGCGAGCACAGAAAGCTGTTTAGTCTCACATTTTGCCTTCTCTGAAGTTTAGACTAGTATTTTAAAGTTGGTTTGTGTGACTAAATTCATACAACACTCACATTTTGTACCAGGAGGAAACTACAACATTTGAGGCGGCCAAAACACATATTTAAACATTCAGAAAGCAGGTGTATTCAGCTGGTTGCAAATCTGGAACCTCTCGCTTGATGCCACTAAAGCTTACACACTGGTCCTTTCAACAATGTTTATTTCCTTTGAGCATTGCAGGAAAACTGTATACATTTACAGCACAACAATTAAAAGTATGCAATTAAAAAAAAATATATATAGATTACGTAGTTTATTATATTTCAGGGTCATTTGTATCTGAAAGGGCATTTCCTGTTACATTTGACATTTTGGTCACATCCAACGTAAACTGAACAGTTGGCCTGACATCGCCGAGGTCTGCTGTGCCGTTTTTGTCCAGCGCTGCTCCCTCTGATTTCAAGCTGACGTCAGGAGATGTCTTTTCTAGAAGAGCAGAGTCTTCTACAGCATTTTCATCTGTAATTAGAGAGTTTTAATTGCCATGCCACAGTGCCATTTATAAAACAAAGTGTTAGATCTTTCCATATTTTACCTTCAAAATCTGTTTCACTTTCGACATCTTCATTCTTCTCAGAATCAAAAGTCTGAATCATCACCTCGTCTAGTGTGGATTGCGAACCAAGAAGCAGTCCCTTCTTCTGATCTAGGATAGAAATATAATTTTCATTAAGATCCTTCTTTACATTAGTCATTTAGCAGATGCTTCTATCCAAAGCCACTTACAATAATTGTATTCAAGAGAACTACTAGACACCAGAAGTTGTAAGTGCATCTCCTTTTTTAACCAAGCATCTAAGAGCAAAATTACAGTGCAGAAAACAAATACAATAAGTGCTAAGTGGAAGGCTCAGGGTAGTACTTCTTGAAGGTGAGTTTTCAGCCTGCGCCAAAAGATGGGCAGCGACTCTGCTGTCCTGACGTCAGTGGGAGTTCATGCCACCACTGTGGGGCCAGGACAGAAAACAGCCGTGACCGGGTCGATCGGCCGCAGGGACCTCTGAACGACGGGGCAACCAATCACCCCGAGGCAGCAGAGCGAAGTGGTCGGGCGGGGGTGTAGGGCTTGACCATGGCCTGGAGATAGGAAGGTTCCTTTCACTGCCCTGTAGGCTAGCGCCGGAGTCTTAAACTGGATGAGAGCTCTTACAGGTTGCCAGTGGAGAGAACGGAGAAGGGAAGTTGTGTGGGAGAACTTGGGGCGATTGAACACCAGGCGAGCTGAAAGAGCCTGGATTAGCACCTGCGCTGTCTAGTCAGTGAGGAAGGTGCGAATCCTCCTGATGTTGGAGAGCAGGAATCTGCAGTAGCGTGTAACCGATGCAATGTTTGCTGAGAATGACAGTTGGTCGTCCAGGGTCACACCCAGGTTCCTCGCAGTCCGAGTTGGCGTCACCAACTCCAACATCTTTGCAGAGCATAAAATGCTTGGACATCGTCAACACAAGGGGCAGATACAATTAATAGTTAGCAAAGGTAAATGGTCGATTTGGAGTTTACCATTTTTGTTGTTTATTCCACTTTTCCACTGGCTGCCATCCAGTGAAGAGCTGTCAATTTTATTCAGAACAGCAGGAAGCTCCTCCTCAGGTATTGGCTCACTTTTCTGCTTGG